AATAAAGCTACAATATCCTGGCAGAGTTTGGTCTGCTGCTGGCATTGATAATTGAGCAATGAAATTTTTACTAGTTTGTTTCCAAATACCAGCTTAAAATCAGTGCAGCAGCTCCAAAGTTTGGTTGGTTTCTCCAGTGCAACTTGTACAGATGCATCTAAGGTAGTTTTTTACTAGTAGTGCAGTACTAGGACCTGCTTTATCAACTACTTTGTTGGCTTTGACCCCAAAGTCCCAACCTTTAACCTGTTGTGAGCCTAGTCATTCTGCTTCTCCCTCTGTGGCTGCTGTTCTTCCTCAACGCAAGTCATCTAAAATGAAATGGCAACTTCTCTGGACAGGAGAGGTGGGCTGGCCTCCTAAGCATTTGCATCAGCTTTGCAAACAGAAAGATGAACTTCACTCATCATCTGCCACATGAAATCCTTATCAAAAATACCCCTGCTAGAGGAGACCATAATTTTAAGACTAGGAATTCTTTTGGGAGCACAGTCACAAATGCCTTGACATATGAAAATGTACATAATTTCATCTGATGAGACTGCTAACACTCAGAGGGAACAGAAGCACTTTGTCTGGGCTAGGTAAAAGCCAATGAATAGCACATATGTGACTTCTCCCTGTGCTTGAACGTTTCAAAGTCCCAAATAGATCTTTACATGTTATTATGGGTAAAAACACATTAAGTTCCCTGCTTGTTGACCAAAATACCTGTATTTATGTGGAAGTGAACTGTACAAGCTCTCCCTGCTCTGAGCAGCACCTTATTTTTCTTATTTGGTGATGCTAATTGGGAGGTCATGGAATGGGGTATTTAGTTAAAACACTGCAATACATCAGCTGGAGAAAAAGCAGGAGGAATTCCATACCACATAAAATATCTTAATGCTAAAGTACAACTGAATATTCCTGATGAATTGCTGATCACTCCAGAGTATCACCCACTCATCCAATCACAAAAAAGGGACTGATTTTTGTTACTACATCTATTCATATACTTGCTGAACAACTCACACTCTTTGGAATACAAGACAGCACAGGAAAAGTTCAGCATGTACAGATGACATTAGCTTTTACAGGTCACTTCTTAAAAGCAAGAATGAATGCAGACAGACACCATTGGCAAAGCAAGATGCAGAAAACAGAAGATGGGCACTGGTCTGTCAGTGATTAAATAGCCTCCTCTTTTCCAGAAAAACACTTATTTATTGTACACCGTGGTGAGAAAAGCTCAAGCACAAATAGGACAGTAAATCTATATATCATTTCTAAAGTCTAGTTCAGACTATTGCATTCAAATGAATGCAACTTCATCCATGGTCTCAAATTCTGTTTTCTAATTTGGTTTATTAATGACATGAGGTAGGAATTACCATTGTGTGTTTAGAAAGTAGCCAGTGCTCCCAGGAATCCAGACTTATTTGTGACACTGGATATAACCAAGAGTTTAAAAGAAGAAAAAGAATCTACCAAAACAACTGTTTTCCAACATGATCCACAGATCAGATCAAACCCAGTCCTGCATATGTATATATTAATTATACATATTACACATCTCAACACAACAGTAGTTGTAGTCATGAAACCAAGTGCTGAATCTGATTTGCTGCAGTATTTAATGCATTGAAGTCTTTGACCTATACCATTTCCTATAGGCCATGAAAGCTCAAAATTTAAATCTCTGTTGTGATTCTCTGTCATGACGAATTTTTGGCCAACAATTTGAAACCACTTTTGAGTTCTGAGGTGTCCATCAAGAGGAGGGAACAAGCTTGAGTACAGACAGACAAGGCACAAGTCATTAAAAATATGTGTAAAACCAAGTTAAATAAACTACTTAAACACAGGATGCTAATCTAGCAGTTTCAAAAGGGCCATATTTCTACAGACAACTTAAGACATAAAAAGAAATAAAATTTCCTTAAAAAAACCCTAACCTCACTGTTGTTCTGAGTGCTACATTTATTCAAACACACCCCATTCAGCTCTCAATTAACTGCTTTCTCACTCCAAATGCAGGCCTGCAGTGCATGGAAATGTAATTATTTACACACCACTATCATTGCCACTACTGTCTGTACTTCTAAAGCATCTTGATTACTCTACTGATGAGCACCATGGAAATGCCTATAAATAAAATAATCATATCCCCCTCATTAAGTTACAGTTCATGGACTGAGGAACGATGATTATCCTTTGTACGTTCCTTTTGTAAATTTTATCATTTCACAACAGAGGGAGTAACGTGCCTCCGATGACACTCAAAGAGACAGACTGTCAGGATTCTTGTCAGTATTTCAGCTCTGAGCAGCTTGCATCTTTGCATGAATATTTTCTCTTGAAAATAAAGTAGTGTTTGTCAGAATTAGGCATTCAAGAATCTCTTTCTAATGTCAGAATCAGACATGCAAAAACCTTTAATATCATGTTAGAAGGTCTGATTTTAATGGAGCAGTATGTCATAGATACCCCAACAGCAAACATTGTACCCACAGCAGAAGCTTCTAACTCTAGTTTCAACACTAAGAACACACATAGGTGGAAAATTTCAAATAAACTTAGATTAAAAAAAAAATATTGAAGGAAGCCTTCCAATAAAAACAAAGCCTTGGTGAACCAGGTTTGCTCTTCAGGAAGCTTCAACAGTAACTGATGCTGCAAACAAATATCAAATATTCCATTATCATCAATCACAAAATCTCACCCTTTTCAATAACTGCAATATTATGTGTACATTTGCATACAGTTAAACTCCCAGTGGTGTCTCTATAACACAATGAAATATCACATTTCATGAAATGGTGAATTATAAAGCCAGCAAAACAAGTTCAATGTGATATCTTTACTCAGACTTTATTGCAATCATATTTCTGCAATAAAAACTGATGGTGAAATTGTCAGGTTGCCCCAGTCAAAACAGTGCTGAATTAAGGCACCGGTGACTGTACAGTTATCAGAGCCTGACATGAGGAAAACAAGTTTGCCTTTTACCTTTTGATTCAAGAAGAGTCATGTATGGTGTGGTCTCTGCTATGGACAACAGGTTGTGGTAGGAATTGCTAGATTACATAGATCTGCGTGCCCCTTGCTCACCTGTAGTCCCATGCGAGGCAGCCACTCTAACAACAGATTGCAGCCTACCCCAAAGCAGCAGACACTAAGCAGACAATCTGTAACCTGAGAGAAAGCTGTGCTTCCCAAATCCCCATTTAGGAATTAACACAATTTCACAGGCTGGTCCAGTCACCAGAACACAAGCTCAGTTCAGTTTATGGTGTGATTTGGTCTTGCTCTCCAGACAAAGGTAGAAGGGAAAACACCACTTATTGCTGTAACTAAGCTAGAAGGTGGAGAAGATAAAAGTTTGATGGAAGCTCACAGGGCATCCCTATTTCTGCATGCTGTTCAAAGCAACATCTCATCTCCAAAATGCTGTCTCTCCTCAAATAACTGAGGCAATTTACAGGTTCAGATTAAGATCATCATTCACAGCTGTGAGAGAAACAGGACTCTGTCAGCATGAGTAGGCAACTGCTTTCACACCAGATCCATCTATTAAATCCTTTGTAAAGCTGCTGTGATTCAAAACACATGGTCTTGTGCCCATGTATGATTTTCTTAGTCAGGACAGATCATTTGACTCTCTCCTTTCTCTTCCCCCAGCCACTTCCAAGGTTTCCAGTACATCTCTTCCTGCATCACTGATTATTTACAGCATGCTACTATATCTATGGACAGTCTAGCTGGAAAGTCACCCACTCATGTATAAACTACACATCTTATGAAGAAAAAGTGCTGAGTTGAGACAAGTGGAAAGAAAAGCTTTGACAGACAGTTGAGATTTGTGTGTATCTGAAGCTAGAAGCAGCCATTAACTAATGTACAGGATACTGAGGTTGGAACAAAGCAAGTCTCTCAGACAGGCTAAAGTGACATCCTACTTTTAGCTCCCAGACACTGCACCGGGACTGTGCAGGACACTTTATGAGCCTAGGTTTGAGGTTAGAAGAATTAACATTTTAATATGTAAAGTCTCCGTGTCAGTTGGATGCATTGCCTAGGGTTGGCACCTGATTTCAAGAGCCAGTATTTAAATAATTTTCTCCAGAGATAGGAAAGAGAGTTAATTTAAAGCAATAGCATCAATCCCTAGAATAGCCAGCATCCAACCCCCACACAAGAGCTGTGCTGCCTCACCCCAGAATCTGGAGCAAGAAAAATAGTGACAAAAATAAGATCATCCCTCAGTTACAGAAGACACAGAACTGTTAAATCAAGCTCAGAGCTGTCCTTGAAGAATCTAGCTCTTCCCAGTCCCCAGAGTTATCCTCCTCATTCCTTTAAGGGTTTTCATAGATATAGCAATATGAAATGGCTTATTGCTGTGTAGCTGCTAACAAGAGACAGATGTTTCCTTCAGTTACAGGAAAATGTAGACATGAAGCACATTATGATGACCCACTAAATATTTTTGACCCAAATCCCTTTCTGCGTGGTATCTAGTCATGCATTTCATCAAGAAAATGCAACACAGCTCCATGCTTTTCCTGCTAATTACTGAGCTAGCCAGAAGAGCATGCTTGGATCAATTACTTTATCTTAGTAAGCCTTCAGCTGAGGACAAGGAAAGTCAAGCAACACATTTTCACTTAGTGAACCCAAATCTCAAGAGTTCTTGAAATTACTTCTGAGCCAAATCAACTGGTGGCTGTGAGCCGAACTCCCCATGTTATTTATTTAGCTAGTCTGGAAGAGACGCACTGCACACTGGCGTGCAGGATGGAGCATCTGTTTCACTCAGACGGTTGGCTACATTCTTTACTTGATATTAATATCAGTGAAAATTTAGTAACTTAACCACTGGCATGAGAAGTCTGACTTCTAAGAGAACAGATGGCAGTGATCATCTCAGGTTAATTTTAGGCTTCAAAAATTGTTCTGAGTCAGCAAAGCCTCAAGATAAGAGGAAAAGAAGACATAACATCTGTAAAATCTCCTACCTGTTTCCCGTCCAAGGTATACAGCTTTTTGACCACTCCCGTCTCCAGTTTTATAGCTTCAGTGATATCGGTGAGAACTTGCTCAAACGAATGGGCAGTCTTCTTGTTCAAGAGCACACGGACTGCCTTCCGGGGCTTCACCCCACTGCGGATGATGGTTACCAGCTTGGGACGCACAAAATCTTTATTCTCCTTTGCCTGGGCACTGTTGCTGCTGGCCAGAGACTGAGGTGCTTTCTGGTTGGCAGATGTCTTCACGTTGACAGACCAGTTGGGATTGACATTCTTGGTGTATTCTACCTTCTTGAAGAAGTTATCAGATGAGCAGACGTAACTCTCCCCTTTTGAAAGAAATGAACACCAGTCTAATTCTACAGTTATTACTGTAAGACTGCTGAAAAACACACTGTATGTTTCCCCCCATTAATCATGTAACTCATTAATAAATGTTTTCATTATCACTTCCATGACAGCTTCTTATTAAAACATTTTGTCTTATTTTATGTTTATGCTTATCTAAAATATGACTAGTATTTCCTCAAAGTAAGCAGGTCAGCCATAGCTTGCATCAGCAAATACATACTACCATTCATTCACATAACCAGGGGTTAAAAAAGGTTGGGTGTTATAAAGGTATTTAAATAACTGCAGATGCATCTAAACTGTCTAAAAGCTCCTAAACACCAAATTCATTTAATCACCTGAATTATTTTGTAAATTTGCCAGCTTCCTCTCCATTTTTACAGATCTAGCTACTACGTCAGTCTGTCATCCCCTGCCAAGAGGATATCAACATTCATCCACAGAGTACCTTTTGCATCATGCTTGAAAAATAATGAAAATCTGGTAATAAACAGTCTCCACCAAAAGCAGCTTTGATAAATCTAGCAGTCATAACAAATACGCTCTGTTATAGTGTCAGTGGTTTATTAGAGGACAGACATAGTGGCAGCTGAGATAAAACACTACACCAAATACCACTGCTTGCTTTTATAAGGCTGGTACCAACCAAAAATATATTAAATCCAGATTTAGACATTGTAGAGAAGGGTTACACAGTCTTGTTAGTAATTCACAAAAAAAAAAAGCCCTTCCCTCTCCCATCCAAAATTAGTTTCAAGCTTTGTCTGTAATTTATAGGATCCTATCTACCTAAGGTTTTAAGACCACCCTTAAGGATTTGAGGATCTTCTTTTGGGCCTGCAAATCTGATAGATGCTAGAAGAGTTGTTACTACAATAAGACTGTAAAACAGTATCCCTAAGGGAATGTAGCTGTCTAGTCTGAAATGACTCAGGCTGCTGAGCACTTGAGGATGAACTGAAAAAAAGTCAGTCATTGCTAGAAGAATCAGGTTTTGTCTCACCAGCAGATAAAATTTTAATAGGAACTGAATACATAACATGGATACCTTATAGAGTTTCTTTAAGAATCTTATTGGGCTGATGTTACAGAATGAAGTTCTTCAAATATTACGATAGGTTTGAAAACAAAATATAGACTTAACTATTTTGAACAAGAAAAAAATCCTTCCTTATATAAGCAGACTGGCTGCATTTTCTTATCTGTTCCCTACTGCAAACTCCAGGGCTTGGACATCTTTGAAAAGCCTACCCAACATCTGAGTCTGCCTTTCTGTTACAGATCTCTAGGACAGGATTTGACATCCAGTTGGAAAAGGTGAATACGAATTTCCAAACAGCCCACGGATTTCCAGAGAATTTGATGGTCCAGGCATGTAATGTATCCAGGGTAGTGTTCATATACTCATCCTTCTGCTGACTAAATTTCATTGTTGATGGAGGCACTGACATGATCACTTCATAGAACATATGGTGAGACTACTAACAGGTACACAATACACAGAAGGCTTTAAAAGGTTTAAAATTATGGTGTGTGTTGTATTTATGTCCTTATTACTGCTAAGTGTTTGATGTCACAAACAGCCAAAGAAAAGATGCAGGATGCTAACTTTGTTTTTAACCCCAACTTGGTACCCAGTTTTCCAGAAAGTGATATGTAGTCATGGTGCTTACATCACCAACTGAAGCTTTTCTTCATCTCCCCCGTTGCATAAAATGACCAGAATAATTTCTCAACAGGAAGCAGATACTCTGTTTTCCCTTCTGAAATTGGAAGAGAAATACAGAAGGGAAAAGAGAGATAACAAGGTTCATGATGAACACTGTCATTTGGCCATTTTACCAACTAGTGTACCCCAAACTAACACAATAATCCCACCAGTAGGTTCCATTGGCTTGAACAAACAATAAAAATCTATATTTGAGGCATGTATGCTGTCAGCAAAACCCCTCAATAGACTGACCATGTAGTACCCCTAGCTGAAGCTCCTTAATTCCTTACATTTCTTGAATCCGACTCAACAGAGGTATAAAGATACCCCAGAGTACCATACATTATAAAGAATTCCCATTTGAGATACTGATTGTTTTCTAGAAGCACTGAATACTTTAAATCTTACTGATTAATAAGTGATAAGTTGTGGTTTATTCATCTGCTTCAGCCAAGCAACACCTGGTGAGCAGGGGGCCCCCACATCTCCAGTTTCGCAAGTGAGTGTGAAGTGCAGCGAGGGGAGTTTGAAATGCTCACAGGGAATTAGCCCCCCTAAGAACCTGAGCCCTCCCAAGCCCATAATCCCTGAGCAGCAGAGCCTTTGTAAGCATGCTCAATAGAACTGTAGCATTATCCTTTGAGAAAAGGGATTCCCATGTTTAAATGCAACACTAGGAATAAGTGATTTGAATACTATTCTCACCACTGCCCCAGGCCTTCCTGTGGAAGCTCCTGACCTCACCTGCACCTCTGCTTCCCTACCTGAAAAACAGAAGTAGTAATATCTGTGTCTTTAGTGTTCAAGGCTTGACTTTCATCTGTGTTTACGTAATACTTCGGGATAGAAGATGCCACAATGAAAGAAACTATGTTTGCACTGTGTTCTATAAACACGTGATGTGTCGAAGCATATTTTCCATTAATAAGTTCCACATTTTAAAGTAAGCAGAAGACATTATTGGTCTGTTAGTCTCTAGTTCCAGCTGAATTGTTTGAAATTCTTCACTGCACACCATAGCTGTCTAGTATTTACAACAGCATACACTGAAGGCAATAGTGGCATGAAGGCAATACTCTTCTAAGCTGTGTTTCCACAAATGTGGTATTAGGTAGTTGTGCCTTTCAAATTATGTTCACAGTCACAAGTGGAAAATGTAATCTGCCCTTTCTCACTTTGTTTCATTTAACCCAAACCATAGAAAATATTTTATTGAGCTCTAAAACTGGACAGAAATTTGCTTGGAGTGACACTTCAGAATAGCAGTTCAGAATAGCAGTTCAGAATAGCAGCTCTTATCAGCATCATTTCTGCAGTTACAGCAGTATAGCTCCAAGGAAGAGGAGCTTTTCTTTCCTTCTTCCCTGACCTAAAGATGTAACCTGAAGCTTTAACTTAAATTAAAAATCACTTCAACTGATGTCTTTGCAAACTCAGTTTATAGCCCTCAAATAATAGCAAAATTACCATTCAAGTTCCTCAGTGAGGCGCATCCCCTTTACCATTTGGCAGCCAGGAACAAGTGCTGTTTCACTTCCCACAGCTGAGTTTTACCCAAACCTCACCACTGAGGTGATACCAGGATTGGGCAAGCATGGGCTAAAGACTTGTGAACTTTCCAGCTTTGAACATGTGTATTGTGGCTGGAAGATCACAAAAGAGAAATCTTATGGGGAATAGTGCTACCATAGAAAGAGGAGTGCTTCCTTAGTTTCTCTGCTATGCCTATCTAAGCTAAGCCTATAATGAGAAGTCACGGTGTACAACTGTGTCAGTCAAAGAAATATAACTGAGAGACACTGCATGGTTGCAGAAGACATGTGCAACATAACAGAAGGAAAAACGTGGAAGTGAATAAGAGATTCCGTCAAAAGCAAAAGAAACAACTCCAAGTATATTGCTCCTCAGCCCTAAGCATAAAAATCTGTTCACAAATATTTTCAGGAACACGTCTTTAGACAGCAAGCAGCTGTGTACATGTGCAGAAATCCAACTATAAGCCACGAGAAGGTACAATTAAGAGCCATGACATTACTTTCAAACAAAACCCCAAATGGGGCCCCCAAAGAGAGACACTCATGCATTGAGGGTGGGAAGCTTCTGTAAGAGTGAGAAGCATCATCCTGACAAGATCCACTCCACTGCTGGACACCACGCCATGGGCACGACACCAGCAGTGCCATGGACAGCATTCTGTCAGTGCAGTGCCAGGTCAGTGCAAAATGCCCTTTCTGCACTGCAAAGCCAAAGCCCTGCAGGATAATGCGCACTCGCCTTCATGTCAGTGTTCTCCAGAAACGTCAGCATTTCTATTGTGCCACGAAACCACCCAAGGAATTTGTTTATTCCTTCTATCCTGCCCTTAGCAGTAGATGGACTAACTGTAGACCTTTGACCATAAACCACAATCAGCATATTTGCCATTAAGGCCATGACTTGCATCACACTGAATTACTCTGGCTACAAGTGCTTTATACATTACTATGCTACCCATTTGATAGAAGCGCAAGGTGATTGTTCAGCTCCTAAGGAAGGGATGATCTCAGCAAACATAAGGTTTGCCTTAGAGAAGGTTTCTTAGAGAAACTCTAAGCTCAAGATGAACACTAATCCTTCAACTCTCTTACTGCAGCTCCTTGTAACAATACTAAAAATGACAGCCTACACTTTCAGAGAAAGTTATCCTTTCTCAGCAGGCACCAGTAAGTTTTCAAGTATAATGAACTGCGGGCAGAAGTCTTGCAAGAAAAATTGGGAAAGCTGGATTGAGGCCATTTTGAAAGTGAAACTGCTAAGAGTTATTCCAAAAACGGTCTCTGTGGGCTGCATTCAATTATTTTCGTTGTTAGCTCTGCTGTCGCAAAGTTGAGATCGTGCTACTGTGCCCAGCTTTCATGTTTCAGGGGATTTACTATGACTTCAATAGGAATTAAGTGGATTTAACACCTTGCAGAGTTCATTACATATGGTGTTAAAGTTTCAAATGCATGAACTTCTTGCTACTTTATGCATTAAAAAGGATATTCCTCTGCCTCAAGACCTACACCACCATGGCAAAATGAACTCTGGAAGAGCTTCCTTCCTTTGGCTCTTTCACAGAGGGCTCTCCTATCAGAGAGAAGAACTTCTTGTTCTGTTGAAAAAGTGAAAGAAATGCATGAGTACCAAATCTCCTTCAAAACAACATAATGCCCATGAAGAATTTATGGGGCTACACCAGTCCTAGTGTGATAGTCAGGATGAGCAAGCAAATAAAACAGAACCACA